ACGTCAAAGTAATGAGAAACTTACGTTTATCAGGACACCTTTTTGTGTTAAGGTTAAGTTCGACCACGCACGAATAACACATGTCATCCCTCGGCCATGATTTAATAAAAGGTTAGGTTTGACCATGCTCGAATAATACCTATCGTCACTCGACCACGATTTAACAAAAGGTTAGGTTCGACCATGATCGAATAACACCTATCGGTCCTCGACCGTGATTTAATAAAAGGTTAGGTTTGACCATGCTCGAACAATACCTATCGGCTCTTGGTCACGATTTAATAAAAGGTTAGGTTCGACCATGATCGAATAACACCTATCGGTCCTCGACCGTGATTTAATAAAAGGTTAGGTTCGACCACGCTCGAACAACACCTATCAGCCCTCAGCCGCGATTTAATAAAAGTTTAAGTTTGACCATGCTCGAACAACACCTATCGGACCTCAGCCATGATTTAATAAAAGGTTAAGTTCGACCACGCTCGAATATCACCTATCGAACCTCGACTGCAGTTTAATAAATGGTTAAGTTCGACCACACTCGAACAATACCTATCGGCCCTCGTCCGCAATTTAATAAAAGGTAAAGTTCGACCCGACTCAAACAACACCTTTCGGACCTCGGACACGACTTAGAAAAAGACCAAAATCAAGCAACTTCAAACAACACCTATCAGCCTAATCTAAATAAAGAGGCACACCCGACCTATATAAACAAAGTGTAGATACGGCCCATAAATAGCCGTCAACAAGGCTACGACCAACTAGAATATAACGACAATAGAAATAGTAGAAGTTGTAAACAAGAAAACAACAAAAGACAAGTACACAAGTGCGGAAACAAGTAACAAATATGGAAGAAGGTGTATAAAACAACTTAAGCATCTATATACAAAAATCTATGGAGTTCATTACAAGGGATCTTAAAGAGAAAGACAAAATACATAAAAAAGTCAAAAGGGAAAGACTACTGGCCCTCGCCATCACGACCCTCCGCGACCTCACCATCTCGGCCCCCGTCGTCATCGCCACCTTCGCCCTGAGGATAAGAGGTATCATACCAGGCGTCCTCCTCGATTCGGTCCACCCCCTCTTCCCCGTCCTCCTTGTTATCCTCAGGCGTAGCGGGATCATATCCACAAGCGACTCAAGCTTCACGAGCCATAACCCGGGAATCCTCAAGAGCAGCCTCAAGAATGGACCCCGTTGCATGCAAGTCCCGAACACATCTAACTGGGCCTCGGCATGGATCCATTCTTTATATAACTCCCGAGGTACGTTGGAAAAATCAGAAGTGTTGAAAGAGGACGGTCGTGCAAGTAGTTGAGCCTTATCGGCCTCTAGAGCGGTCACTCGATCATGAAGGACGAAGTTGTCTTTCTCCAGCTCTCCAATCCTCTCCTCGAGCCGGTCTTCCTTAGCTCTCGTTGTTGATTGATCATTTTACCTCTTGGCTCGAAAGTCTTATTCGCCAACTCAAACATCTTTGCCTTCCTCCGAGGGTCCAAATTAGAGGACTCCGCCTTCTCAAGTTCCTCTTTTTTCTCGATGATCTCGCCGTTGAGGGCCTCCAGCTGAAATCGGCACTCTTCTAGTTGCAATTCAACCACTTGAGCTTGAAGATCACTGCATTGAGCCACTACTCCCCTACTAACTTCAAGCTCCTCTTCCCTACTCCTCAACGTCCCCACGAGGACGCTACACTTCTCGATGGCCTGCACCAACTCATCATCCCTCTTCTTCAGATCATCCCTCAGGGCCTGCATGTCACCGCCCTTGCGAAACCGACTGCAGAGATCCCAATACTTTCCGCGATACTCAAGATATTTATCTTTCAGTTTCACGAAGATCTCTTTACGCCTCTTCTCACTCCGGGCACTCTCAATCTCCAAAATCACTGTCTGCAAACATTTTTAAAAAAAAAAAGAAGAAAAAAGTAAGAACAAAGAACGCCTAAAAAACAGGAAAAAAGGTCGAATCACAAACACTCACCCTAAGAGCGAGGCCAGCAATGCTCCTCGACAAGGCACTGTCATCTATTTCCTTAAGGGTATTACCCTCAACTTCGGATCAGAGAGGACCAAGGGCAGGGACTACCTTCTCAGTGTTCAACAATAAGTCACGATCCATAGGGATCGCAATAGTCCTTGTAGACCCCTCCAACCTTACCTCGAGCAGAGTAAGCCCCTCTTCAATCATCCTAAGGTCGTCCGCATCAACATCGGAACCTGATTCATTGCCCTCTTCAGTGATGCTTTTGCCCCTTCCGTCAGCAGGCAAAAAGGTATCAACAGTTGTCCGAGAGGTCGAAGCCTCCTCTCGTCGCGAAGGTTCAAGAACGTCAGTAGTCGCCCTCTCAATCTTCATTCCCTAGGAATGAAGAGATACGTCTACATAGGCTTCCACCGGCCTCGAAGCCTCGAGACTCGGTTCAACATCGTTTCCACAAGAAGCATCACCATCTCACGCAACAAGAAGTCCTCTTCCGCCGCACCAGCGGCTAGGGCAACTTCGTCACCCGCATTCACAGACCTTCTCTTTCGAGGTTGGAGATCTCCGTCACTGGGCGAAGGCTCATCGTCCTCGTCAATGAGAGAGTATATAGGAGGATCAGAAATCGAAACGGCCAAAGCAAAGGCGATGGCGAAAACGGCAACGGGTGGAATAGGAACAAAGACAGGATCAACCGTAGTCGAAGCAGGGGCGAAGACCGAAGGTGTAGTGGCCTTCCTCTTTCGAAACGAGGACGTAGAAGCTCTCGACCTCCTCGTAGATCCCTTGGCCGAAGCTAAAGAAAAACGGGAAAAGGAAAAATCAGCAAAAGTAACAGACATGGGCGAAGAAATCCCGGCGTTAACGGTAGGGTGCAAGTTGCCTGCCGATGGAAGAGACGACCTAAATCTCTAAGAAAAGCTCGACCAATCATGTATCCCTCCGTATGAGGAAGAATCTGTCTAACTCAATCGGCAATGTGGGTCACCATCTGGAGAGGTCGAGAAGTAGCTGCAGAAAGGAGGAAGCCGATTAATCGACCCGCAGTAAGGAAAATATTAGAAACAAAAAGGTATGTAAACTAATACGAGCACTTACGAGTAGGGTTCCAAGCCTCAAGGAAGCGTGCGGAAGAGGACACTACGTCTTCGGTCCTGACATAAAAATAGTCGAGCCAGAAAAGCCGACTAGCTTTGTCGTCCATCATCACTACCAAACATTTTCCCCTGCAGTGGCGAAGATTCAGCAAAGTCCCTCGATATAAATGAGGGGCAAAGAGATGGATAAGGTGGCGTACTGTTATGTCGACATCGGCCAATTCGGCGAACTTCGTCAACATCATGACTACCTTAAAAATATAAGGGGCAAGCTGCGTCGGGCATACGTTGTAGTAGCGTCATAACTCTTCTATCAACGGTGGCAGAGGGAACGAATATCCAATTAAGAATGGATATGCGTAAAGGGCGCAGAAGCGGGGACAGTGAACTCGAACTCGTCGTCGCCCGTAGGGATCAAATCCACGTGACCAGGAAGGCTGAGTCTAGCCTTGAGTTCGATTAATCAATCAACCGTCATCGTGCATTTAAACCTCCCTGTCACTACTTCCGGCGCCTTTTGGAAATCGGGTTTAGCATCGGGACACCGGGGTACGATTTCCTCTATAGTAGGTAGGTTTTCCTCCTCAACAGCAGTTCCACCATCTCCCCCCTGGTCAGGAAAAATGACGTCTAGAGGAATAGAGTGGTCTTCCATATGGACATCCGATAGTAGGTCAGACATTGTTGTGAAAAAAGATAGGGAAGCAAAGAAAACAATAGAGAAGTGCAAGGGTCCTGCGAAGAAGGTGAAGAAGAAGCTCTGCTTATGAAATAGAAGGAGTTTGGAAAAGTTTCAAAATCAACAAATCACCCCTATTTATAAGACTTGGGGGCACCAAAATCGAAACAGCAGGACATGATTAGCACGAAGATCAAAACGGCAGAACAAATCATGGGTCATACGAGAATCGACGCAACGCGTTGGGAAACGACATCATCATGACGCGTGACGTCATGACATCACTTTTTCTCTTAGACCAAATGGTTCCAACTGACTTCCCATGAAAATTCAAAGAATTCAAAATGTGCGGCCCTTAGGAAGCCACGTTGCCTAACAGTCACGACCACGACCCGTATAGCCAGCTCGGCAAAACTCAACCACAAACGACACTATCCACTCATCGACCTCGCCCGCGAGGACGACCTCGATAAGCAGAGGAACTAATTGTATGGGCCAAAAAATATCTTTGATATGGATAAGCCATGTCAGCATTATTATAGCCCTCGTCGACCGCCACGTGCTATCAATAAGGTCCCCACAAAGATCGCCCTCGAGGCGAAGTAGCCTCAAAGCAATGAAGGATGCGGTCGAAGAGTCAGCAAAGACCAAGGTCGCAAAGTCACCGTAGTTCAAGGTCGAGGTCGAACATCTTAAACAGAGTTATAACGACTAGTTCTAAGATAAGACATAAAGAAAAATATTCTAGTGGATATTCTCTGCACATGCACTATTAGCACTACAAGAAAATGGGGCTTTAGCGAGGGGAAATCTGGTCGTTAAAAGTCCAATTCTGGTCGTTATAAGTTGATTACGACCGGGAAAAATCCGGTCGTCACCGGTCGTTAAAAGTCCATCCAATCGTTAAAGGATCTTTAGTGACGACATAATTTTCGGTCGCTAAACATGCTTTTTAGCGACAGAATTTTCTCCTCGCTAATTTGTTATCCGGACGTTAAAAGTCTTTAATGACAACAATGTATTAAGTCAATTCAAGTGATTTTAGTGACCGATATTCCCTTCGTTAATTGTATAATTACTTTTAACAACCAAAAGTCTCTTCGTCTATTTGATAAACCTGTCGCTAAAGAGTTTTAATGACCACATTTTTCTTCGCTAATATGAAAATGTAATAAATATAATAAAAATTTAAATTACGTGAATAGTAATAATTATTTATATGCTTTCATACACGCTCAACAACATTGAAAAATAAACCAAATACTTCATATCTTGTTAATACAAAGAACTAAAGTATCATATTTACCGAAAACCAATCCAAATTGTAATAAACCCATCTTACTAAAACAATGAAAAGTAAAAATAACGCAAACCCATCCAAGAGACAACTGGAAGCATAAAATGAGATGAGTTAATCATCATTTTTAATAATTCCTAAAAAGAAAAAAAAGTAAAATTGTAACATATATATGTACATAAGACTGTTTTTAAACCATCACGAACCAAAAACCTCTTGTACTTCAACTTGCTCTACACTTTCTTCAAGGATAGGTTCTTCGGGCTTCAAGTTTTTTATCTGTTAAAATAACAAATTTATGCCCGTTTAATAACAAAGAATAAACAACTAAAGAAGAAAATGAACACGTTAAAGGGAAAATAAACAGATAACACCTTAAATTATCGAATGCACAGATAGATAACCATATTCACGAGAAGTAAGTTGACTAGCCAAAGAAGTGAAAAGTTCAATTAAAATCTGAAGTTTACTGCCCAAGCATATGGGCGTGAAAGGAAACTGTTTGATCGGGCTGCTTGAGCGTCGGCAACTGTTGCTGCGCTTTGATCAATATGATGACTTCGTTATGTCGTTATCCAGGTCAGTTAATTATCTGCCATTAAATGGAGAAGAACACCAGCTTAGAGTGTTCCCATGGACAATTGCTTACAATCCTAGAGAGGAAACTTCTATGGCGGCAGTGTGGATATCGTTGCCGAACTTATCTCCAGATCTTTTTGCAAAGAGAGCTTTGTTGTCCATCGCAGTTGCTGCTGGTAAACCAATCGCAATTGATAGAGCTACACAATCAAAAATTAGACCTTATGACATTCATAAGCTAGTCAACATGTATAACCCAACAGAGAGTACAAAGGTCGGACTACCACATGTTAACAAAGTTTTGACAAAGAGGTCCTCGGAATTTGGTAACTCTACTCCGTTAGCAACTTCTTATGAATCCTTACTGCACCTAAGGATGCTAATAGAAAAGCAACCAGCCAACACAAGAGATGAGCTATATTTAGTATCAACTGAATATGTGTCTATATTCATATACTTCTAGATTCACATTATATTTAAAAAGGAAAATCATATAGAGTATTCTATACCTAAGGATATTTTGTATTTAATTATAAAATATTTTCTTACCTTATCAACACAGAGTATTGATTATTTAGCATATTATATAGCCTAAGATTCCCATATAAGAAGCACCTCTTTTCATTTTATATTATTTTCGATAGCCGAGAAATCTCCTAGGACCAATTTTGAAACTCAGTAGATGATGGGCCGCTCCTCAATCCTTGTCTACTTAAATACCCGGCTTTTGTTATCAAAAGGCTTCGAACATGTGACGTGCGCCTAAACCACACATCACAAGTTGCGCTCCTACCACAAGACCAAAGTCCTGGGGGGCATATAAGAAGCACCTCTTATACATTGTTAACCAAGTCAAAATAAGTTTCTTCTACATTTTTACATGGTATCAGGGCAAGCAAAGTTCGAGTCTCACCGCCACTCATTAGCAAAAAGACTTCACGTGATCGGACCATAAAAAAATTAGGCCTATAAGTGGGGGAGCGTGTTGAATACATAATTAAGTATCTAAAAGTGTGTTCTCTTGCAGCTTCAGCTTTCTGATGAGATGGTCACACACTTAAACAAGTTACACAGATTAAGGAAACATTTTGAAACACGTCAGTCATCAATCCATCATACTTCAGAAGAAGTTAAGGATTACATTTGCTTAAATGTTATACATGCTCCAGAGATAAAATATGAGATTGGGGGTCTGAAAGGAAAAGATAATCGTCAATTGGTAACATATGCTTGAAGATCAGATTCATGGAGTTGAGGCACTAAAAATAAAAAGAATAGGTACCTGAACTGACACACTAAGATCTTAATTCAGGATTAACATACAGGCTTAGTTAGCATGACAGAATTTGAAAAAATGATTCTTCAAGAAGTCTGTGCTCGGTGTCACTTAAGAAGTTCTGCCAGAAATAAACTCCCTACTCTATGTTCAGACCTGTAACGAACTGTAGCATCATCTGTCTGCTTCATCTCATGAAAGCATGATCGAAGAGTTACTGAAAATCTTATAGCTATAGCGAGCTACTGGTAGTAGTTTGTGCTAATGTTTAGAAAACAGATGAATGGCGAAGAGCTACTCTAGTACTTTGCACTGATTTTTCAGGACAAATGAATAAAGCAGCTAGGGGATGTCCTCATAATCAGTTAGCAAGTAAAAGTTGCCCATTCTCAGTACCAAGTCATTCAGAATAAACCCTTCACCTGCTACCGATTGGAGTAGATAAAACAGATGCACAACAGATTCTCTATAGATATCAGCAAGTGCAAAAAAAATCTTCCAGCAATGCTATTAAGCTAAGTCGATTAAGCCACTGCCTCTTCTATTTTCATACCTTTTCTCCTCGGACCCCTCCTATTATCATGTCATTGATTAATTTATCATTTCTTTCGATGGTATATTTGTTCTGCAATGTAATAAACAGGATACAGAAAGACAAGTCTATTTTGACAAAGATTATTAAAATTGTGAGATCATGCATAAAGTAATTACACCCTCTGTTCCAATTTATGCGACACTTTTTTTCTTTTTATTCGGTCCATAAAAGAATGACACATTTCTATATCTAGTAACAATTTAACTTTAAAATGCCCATTTTAGTTAATGAGATGATCTATAGCTACACAAATATCTATTACCCATTCTAAACCATGTTAGATAGTTATATGTAAATAGTCCTAGTCCCATATGTAGTAGGAATAGAATATGTCCTAGCCTCATATGTAGTATGAGTAAAATATGTCGTAGTCTCATATGTAGTAGGAGTAGAATTTGTAATATATATAGGGCTAGCACAGCTTGGGTTAAAGTGATCCTCAATCTTTTGAACAAGCACCCAAAAAACGTAACGTTGCAATACTTGGATGAGAATTCTGGGAAAATCGTTGAAGCTGTACAGGAGATTGTTTATGATAACTTGCCATTATATTGTTCATGTTGCAAACGCCAAGGGCATGATGAAAATACATGCCGTTTGATTGCGACAAGGAATCAAGATAATGTTTTGAATGTGGAAATTGAGGACTGTGATGATTGCATCTGTTGAAAAATTTCAAGGTGATTTACGGTAAATTCTTAATGATAAAAGGAAGTTGCATGGAGATATTGACGCTGCAATAACTGATGGAAACATTGGGAAGCAGCAGGTCGCAAAAACTGGAAATAATAGAGGTCCAGTTAATCCAGTAGGTAATGTTTCAAAGGTGGTGAAGGGTCAATCTAAACCTACAGATGATGTTCCTACTACTACAGCCTTGGCAAGGCTTTATAAGGCTGTAAACGGTGCTAATTCTAGGCATAATCGACAAGGTGATATGATTGCCTCAGGAGCAAGAATAAATCTACAAGAGGAGGTTTTGAATAAAGCAAACACTGGTAATAATCAACAAACGGTAGCAGGGGCAGGACATGTTGAAGCATCTGTAAAAGTTCCAGCTACTGTAGGTTCAAATTTGGAGGTTGCTGTTGCATTGAATGCAACTGTGGATCGAGCTGCATCTAGGGACGTTAATATAGGTGATGTTGCACCTGTTGCATCAGTGGAAAAACCAGCAGGTATTAAGAGGGTGGATCAAACTACTAAGGAAGGAGAAGCTATTGAAGTAGGTGCACTAGTTAAAGCATCTGCTGCTCGTGATAGTACTAGTGCACGAACTGATGGATTGGAAGCTGCTAATGTGAATTTGATTGATACGGGGGCAGCTGACACAGTAGCAGCAATGTCCCAGCCTGTGCATAAGGGACAAGAACTGGAAGGGGTTGATGTAGCTGAGATGCAAGAATCAGATGTTCAAGCACTGCATAATTCAAAATCTGAAGAATGGGCAGTGGTTAATCGAGCCACTAGGACTGCTGTCTAACCGAATGAATCCCTCTTAGCCACTAGGACTGCTGTCTCTATCCACATTCAGCTATGTTTCAGATGTTCAAGCAGTGCATAATGCTCTATTCTATTACTATACATAATCTGATAAAATCTTAATTCCTAGTCTAAATCCTGGACCTGCTTCAGGCTTGAAAAAAGCAATTCTTCTTTTAATTTCGTACCATCAAATTATGTATATAAAGAAGAGTTTGTCTTCTTCAAACAAATAAACATGTAGCAGCTACATTTGCTTGGTTCCCCTAATTGTTTTAGCATCTCTTTTAGCTTCTACTTCGAGATGTTAATGGCACTTATCGGCTTGGCATAATATTTTGCTTTTTCTTGCCTGTTTAGGTCTGGATTTGATCATGGGTTGAGCTGTAAACTTGAAATTTCCCATGATATACATGTTCAATAGGAATGTTGATATATATCGCAAAACTTGTGGAGAGCAATTAACAAAGTCTTAAGGACCTAGATGTTGCTTTACCTGTGGTAAAAACTTATCAAGAAAATGTGACAGTTATAGTTTGGGAAGCATTTTCCAGAACTAAGATAAGTTGTGCTTAACCAAGCTCATACTCTTTACAACCCCCACCCCCCACCCCCACCCCCAAACAGAGGACTGGGAGTACCAAGACAAGGATAAGATGGTTATTACTTATTATTCCCTCCGTTCCAGTTTACGTGAACCTATTTCCTTTTTGGTTATTAAATATAGACACTTAATCTATGACAAATAGATGGTTTTTGACATAAACATGGATCATGATGTCTATGCCGACTACAACAAGTAACTTTACACTATGAACAATTAATTGATGTTATCAAGAAAACAATGGAGTAGTATTCAGACGTTTGCCACTTGGGAAAAGAAAAGAAGGAGAGAGATGTCCTCACCTAACAAGCTCTCGCAAGAAAACCTCCTTGTGACTGTAAAGGCTGTGAACAATCAAGTCTAATAGGCGACTGACCTGCATAAACAGTATTCTAAGTTTTAACATCTGAATAAGAGAGTTAAACAAACAATTAAATGGACAAAGGACTTTAAGCTAAATTATACTAAGAATTCAAGAACTCCTAAAATTAACTAAAGATTAAATGTTTACTATGTTGGAAACCACAACATTTCATAGATTGATTTCCTTATTGCTAAAAAGGACCATTTCAATTCTAACTGCCAATTCCTCTTCATTCAACTATACCTTAATAACAAACTAGCCAGAATGACATTATGAATCCATTGCATCCATTCAGGGGTCGTTTGGTAGCCGGTAAGAGAGGAGTTATCTGGATAACTTTATACATTGTTTGGTTAAAAGAAGGGGAAAGAATAATCTCCACATAGAAGCTAGCATAAGTTATACAATGTTTGGTTGTTTTTTCCTCTTTTCCACATAAAATGTAGCATTGCTAATACAATGTTTGGTTGATGTTTTTCTTTTCCGCATAACTAATACATGTATAAGTTATGAGGGAATCTATGTATTATTTATGCAGGGTAGAAGGTGGAATAACTTATACATGTATTAGTAATACTTCTATTAAAACACAAAATGACAAGAATACCCTTTATTCAAATTTGTATTTTTTTGTTTAAAAAAATATATTTAAACTATACTAACAATTTTAATAAAATAGAGTAAGCTAATAATAAATAACACTCACATTACTAATCCTTATATAACTACCGCACAACTAATCCCTGCATAACTAATCTATGCATAACTAATCCCAACATAACTCAACCTTGCATAGCGTATCCCCGCATAACTAATCTCTGCATTACTTATTCCTGCATAACTAATACATACATAACTAATAACTAATACATGTATTACTAATACCTGCATAACTCTAACCGGCTACCAAACAACCCCTCAATGTTTGGAAAATTCATGATATTACAAATCTACTACTATGTCTCAGTCCCAAATAATCCCGAACAAATTGAGGTCGGCTAAATCATCACGGACCACATTCAATACTGACTGAAATTACAGTATCATGATACACAATTGTTTGTTTTATTGAAAAATATAGAACATTCTGACAAATAATTGAATTAGTGTGATGCCCCACAAGATCCAATATGGACAATAAGCAATCTTGTAAAGATAAAAAAAGGACAACTAAACAATGCAGATTCAAAACCTTCAATAGGCTGATTTTTGAGTGCTCATTGATAGAAGATATATCATTTTAATACTACCAAAAAGTTAAACAATTATTGGTGCTCTTTAATATCTATATGGTTTTCTCGTACAGGATCAAAAGACCAATTTAGTCAGTACCTTCTTTTAATTTCATTAGTCTTGATACTGCTTTGATTCGAGATACAAATGGCAATGAACAACAAGAGGTTACTCTGGTTGATCAAGAAGGTAGGAGTGGTAAGGTTGATGCTATAGAAATTGGACAACTGAGTAGGGATCAACAGAAACCTGTTTCTAAACTCCCTCGTGACATTCCAGCTGCTACTGCTTTAGCGAGGATTTACCAGGTTGTTGGTTCTGCTCTACAAAATCATAATATTGCACTGAATGCTCCTGAGGTACAAACGATTAATGATCGAGGTGTAGTGACTGCTGTAAGTGCTGAAAAACCAGCAGGTTCTGAAGCTACAGCTGTGAAGAATGTTTCTCAGGAGTTGGAGGGGGAAAAGCAAATTGCCAAGGGCCCTGGTGTTGATCGTGTTCAAGCTAAGGTTGCTACTACAGTTGATGGGCACATTAATACTAGGCAGGAGCAGAGTAATGATCATCAATAAACAGTTGTGCAGGAGAAGAAAACTGGGTTGTGTGATCGACCTACTGGTGCAATTGAAATAGCTGAAAAAACAGCAGTTTTAAAAGCTATTGGTGTGCATGATGAGGGGCAAGATGTTGAAGGTGTTGTTGCTTTGGATAGTGCAGCACCTAAAGGTGTTAAGGCAGTAATTACAGATGGTAATGAACAACAAAAACCTATAGCTGATCATGCCACTGCTGGTGTAAAAACGGCTCTTATGCAGGAAACTGGGACGCTAGAATCTGCTAAGCAGGAGTACAAGGCTTCAGTGAAATCTGGGCAAATCAAGCTAATACTTCTGCACTTGAGATTGTTGAAAAACCAGCAGTTATTAAACCTACTGCTGTGCACGATGAAAGGCAAGGTCTTGAAGATGTAGATGCTTTGAGTAGTGTAGCTGTTACAGGGCGTGATCGAGGAAACAATACTAAGAATCATGTAGCAGTGGCAGTCGAAAAAGTGGAACTGAAGCAGCTACTATAGGTTCGAAGTTGGAGGCTAATGTTGCATTGAATGCAACTGGTGATCGACCTACTGTTGGGACTCCTAAATCTACTGTTGCACTTGTTGATGTAGTTGAAAAACCAGTAGGTTTTTTAGCTACTGTTACACAAGATGAGGGGCAGGAACGTGAAGGAGTTAATGCAAGAAAGGTTTAAGCCCAAAGGCACACACTTTTGTACCATCCGGGCAGCAGCAAATTGCAACAGTTGACTTGAGGAATAGCTCTAATTCTAAGATGGACCAAAGAAGATAGGTATGGGAGATGGAACAGTAAAGAATATAGCTGGAGAGGACTGGACAGTTGTTGCTCGATCACCTGCTAATCAGCAGCAAGCAGTGACGCATCGATCACCTAAAAATAGGAGATCTCCAGGTCTGAAAGACCAGGTCATAACATCAAAGAATATCGAGTTTTCTAACTCGTTTGAAGCATTGCTCAATGAGCATGATCATGTGATGAATGAGGAGGGAAAGAATGTGCAGCAAGTACTTTGTGATACAAGTTCAAAAACTGGACAAGCCACCTCTCCAGTAAGTGCAACATATCTAACATACCCTTGCTCATTCTTTCATACTGATCTTTTGCACTACAATTGAGATTGAAAACAGAGACATACTACCAAATAACTTTAGCCAATTCTCATACCCCATACCTCTGATCAAATTTGTACAGTTTAAAACAAGAAACAAGTTTCACAAAAAATTTCCATTCAAGACAAATATCGCTCAACAGGTGCGTTTTCTAGCAAAATTATTACTCAATTCACAAAGAAAAGGGTAAAATTTTGAACCTTACCGTGATGAGAAAAACCTCAAAGATGAGCAGCTGTTGTCAATGGAGGTGACGAGCAGCTTCGTTCGCTAATTCGCTGAATTTCACGAACTCTAATTATTTGAATTTGTCATAGCAGTTCTCTGCTAATTCATTCAAAACAGAGGTTTACGAACTGTTAGAGAAGTATTCGGGCTTATTAGGTATACGAACTGTTTAATCGAAGTCTTGGGGCTTTTTCCTTTTTTTGGGGGGATGTGGGAAAAGTTAGCGCCACTTTTTCATTAATTAATAATTATAACGACCGGCTGTGTTATATTTTAACTGCCGAATATTATCCCCTCGTTAATATTGAATTAAAAATTAATTTTAACGATCGGAAAAAAAATTTAGTTGCTATAAATACACTTATAACAACCGGTTTTATGTCCCTTCGTTAAGAAATGGTCGTTAAAAATTAAATTTCTTGTAGTGTAGGATTTTCTAGGAACATGTTCCCTATAAATAGAAAGAGACACAATGATAGGAGACATGAGATATTCATTTGTTAAAAACACATTAACTTTATATAGAGAATCTGATCCTATTGCAAATATACAAAAATAACTTTTTTACTAAGATTCTTGTCTAGCATTTCCCATCGGATCCAAGAACAACCTAAGTATTCAAAGGCTCGTCAATCATTCATCATTGTCAGAAAGAATATCCACTGATTTCACCCCTTTTTGGGCGACTCATACTTTTTATTTACTTAAATGTCATTTATTGCCATTTATTACTATTGAATGCCATACTTCACCTTTTTGGGTCATTGAATATTGTTATTATTGCTTATACTCACTTCCATCCGAATAAATATACTAGTTATTTGTCACGGTCACGATAACTTTATCTTTAGGATATTATTTTTAACTAAGATTAACTCTCCTTCATTTACATATAATTCGTTGAACCAAGATCGATATTTTTGGTCAAACACTAATACATTCAGATCGAATTACATATGCGCACACATTCACAAACACACTAAATTTAAACCAACTATTGTTTATATAATTATAGGTGTGAAACCATGGTGAATGAAGGTATTAAAAGGAAATGAGATTGACCTAAAAAAGAAGTTGTCTCGAAGGACCTACAATTTCTAAGGATCCATGCACACTTAACAAAAGATGAGGCAAAACGAAAAACATTTATATAGACAAACACATATTACTTGAGAATATGTTTTAGACGTTAGCACTTTTACTTTAGGTCTTATATTCTTTAGAAGTTGTTTAGTCTTTCAAAGATTTATACCTTTAGAAAATATACAGAACTTGTAAAACTTTTTGTTTGTATTTCCATGATATTGACATAATATGGCCTAAATGGAGTAACATGAAAAATGAAAATTTATATAGCGGATCCCAACTTATTTGGGATAAAGGCGTAGTAATAATAATTGTTGTTTATTATTAGTATAATTATATAATAGGAGTAGCGCTTTACATATGCAGATTTAAAATTTTGAATGCCTCAGATCCTACATGCTTGAAGAGAATTGTTGAATTTGTGAGCAGTGGAATCTGAATTTAACTTTCTGCACTTGTAGAGGATGTCAATTAAATAACGAAGAAATGTTTGTTAATCAAATGATCATTATGCTTGTATGCAATTACCAATAATGTAATCAAAAGCGAAATAATAGCGGGTTCATGGATTCCCTTGGCCATACCTCGAAATAATTGAATAGCAATATTTTCATTGGGATTTTTACTTAGCTATATTATATTAGAAACATATTTACCTATGTACTCTATGTTTTGCAGTTTTTAATAAGTATCTAGGTTTTTCTTACAAATTGTATACATTTTTTCTTAAAAGACTCCCACCCCATTATTAGTGTTTTCAATTAAGGGATTCAATTACATCATTTTCTTTTTACCCCCTCTCCTCTTCTCTCCTTTTTTTACATCAAAATCCCTTAATTTACTCCCAGAATCTCCATCTTCTCTCTTCCCAACATTTCCAACAGCTTTATATTATTAAAAAATATTCAGAAATTGTATGATAATTGTATTCATAATTGTATTTGAGTTGTATCAGATACATCAATGCCTAAAACATAAATGTATCATACTTGTATCATATCTGTATCTAGTACTTTAATACCCAAAATAATACCTGATACAATACTAATAAATTAATATATAATTATCATATTTGTGATACAAACTGTAAAATTCGTCACAAACTCACAACTGTTCGTAACAATTACAATGAATATACAATTATCATACATTTGTAATACAATTCCTGCAACAATTATGATACATATACAATTATAATACAATTGCGATACATTTCTAAAAAATTGTGATACAATTATAATCTTCATCTTCTTCAAGTTTTAATCACAACACTACACTAAAAATTTAATACAATCGTATTATAATTGTATTAGCATTGTATCGAGTATTGTTTTGGGTATTGATGTATCATATACAAGTCATATACAATAAAGATTTTAGAAAGAAAGAAAACAAGATTCAAAATTTACCCACAACTTGATTCTAGAGCAATATTCCGAATTTCGTCAACATTGTATCAATAAGAAATAGAGATTTTGGGTGATTAGTAAAAAAAAGAGAAATTAAATTTCAAAAGCTTTGGAAGAGGAAAAGAATCTGCAATTTTGGGGGGGATAACAATGGGTAAGCGAGATTTTGGGTAAGCAAAATTTTGGATAACAATGGGTAAGCAAAATTTCTTACAGTGGGTAAGAATAATTTTGGGTAATTGTTAAGAAAGAGAAGATATTTTTGTAATCCTTTAGAAAAGGAAAGAATCTTAAATATAGGAGGGATTATTGAAAATGGTGATTGGGTGTCATGTAAATGATAGGCTAGATTTAACGGATCTTGAATTTCTTCTTTTTTATGATTTTGTATATAACTAGTAAATATAAATATACAAAGTAATTAATAAGGAATCTAAATAAATGTGGTAAATAAATTTTTATTATAGTAGAGCTAGGTAAAAATCCATCTCCAGTTTGCACCAATGGTTTGCATTGGTATGAGCTTCAAATACCTGATGGACAACAAATTGTACATATAGAGACGGATCCAGAATTTAAACTTTATGGGTTCAGATTCATAATTCTACCATATCTTATCTAATTTAATGGGTTTAAAATTTATTATTTGTACATATTTAATAATTTTTTGAGCAAAAATATACAGGATATGATCGAAAACTATGAGTTCAGTTGAACCCATAACTTTTACACTACATACACCTTTGTGTACATATTCGTACCATTTTTGGACTCTCACACATAGGGGTCAATGAGACAAATGACCTTGAAAAAAGTTGGTCTTGAAATTTTGACTTTTGAGGTAGTTCATATGACTTTTGACCTTGAAAGTTTGTCCATTGGTCAAGTGATATAAAAGATATCATCAAATTCATTAAAATATTAAAGATATTTTAACAACTCTTTTTGTCTCAAAATATAAATCGATTAGATTTCAAATTTTAATTCGTCTTTGCTATTCACCTAAGTTTTATATAGATATTTGCTATGACTATGGAGATTGTTAGTAAAGTTTCTGAGCCTAATCGAATGAGAATATTCAAGGGGCTTAAGCTCATTTAATAATCATATGCAAAAGCAATGGTATTAAAAGTCATACTCATCAAACTAATTAACAACAATAATTTCCGTAAGGAAACACAAAATGTACAAATGACATGATTGCATAACTTGAAAATGTTTTCAAATTTAAAATGTTAATAAATATATCAAAATCATTAATTCACGAAAAAAATGACAAAAAGGAGACAATTTGGTACCAAGCTAAGGACTTGTTACTTGTCACAAATAAATACACCCCATTAGCGTATTCAGTCCTCGTCAAATAGAAATATAATAAAGTAAAATAAAAATACTTCACTTTTCAATTCTATTTTAATAATTTGGATTAACCAAAAAATATGATCATATTTTCTCTACTTAGATCCTACACTCTCTAAATATTTATTTAATTAAAGAAAAGGTCCACCGACTTGATGCAGTTTCAAAAGTAAAATTGTTTTCTACCTAATTCAAATTGTTTCTCAATATTTGATTATTATGAAACCGACATTTCATGGAAGAAAGATTTATGACTTTCAAAATGTTAATTTTACTTGAACTTTTCCAAGTATAATTAAATTTCAACTCTTACCTTAATATTATTCCCAAATAAAGTGAGAAGGCTTAATTGGGACATAGTAGTAAACTACATCGTTCAATAACTTTGGCATAAGGAATAACTACTTTATCACAACTATAACAAACTTAGCTCGAAGTACAACAACAAAAACAATAGGACATCCATATATCAAAATCGTCAAAATCCAACAGAAACATGCAAAGTTCAATTGATTGAGAAAGTAATAAGACTATTCCTTTTTCTTGATGTACATCATTTTGTAACGGTTCAAGTACTACTATTTAAATAAAGAAAAGCAATAAAATATTCTGACAAACGCTTCTCCTAACATACATATTTATATAAAAAAAAACAGTTTGTGTTATTTACAAAAAAGTATTCTTCCAATTTATGTGAACTTGTTTGACTGAGCACGGAGTTTAATAATAATAAAGACTTTTAAAATTTGGAGTCCTAAACAAGTCAAAAAGCGGTCCAGAATATTTGTGTGGTTATAAAAGCTAAGGACAAAGTTTAAACTAAATTATTTCCAAATTTAAAAATGAGTCATTTTTTTTGAACGAACCAAAAAGAAAATAGGTTTACTGAAACAAACAAGTAAAAAGTAATTTTTAAAATAAACAAATGACAACTACATCACACTAAAGAGGATGTGCAATACAATTCAATATCTATCTTAGACATACATATCCTATCTAACTAACCAAGAGACAGTAGCGTTATCTTCTACAAAGAAACTCTAACTTTTTCTTCCCTTTTTTGGTCTTTCAAAGTATCAAACTATAATTCTTCAAGAACAATTCATCATGTTGATCCAACCATTTGAGAAAACCACACCCCCAGACCCCGCGACAAAACTCAATCAAATTCAAGAAAACTGATTAGAAAACTTTTCAGTTGGAGCATTAATAGAATTCAACAACAAAAATTCAGATAAAACTTCGTGAATAAAGATTTCTGAAACACCAATTAAATTTACATGTAATATCATTAAGCACAAACATAATTAAGATTCTAGTTATCAATCTTGCATAAAGCCATTCATCTTTTATCAACTTGATGAACCTTACGTTATGCAAATTCCGCACAAAATCAAACTACTAACTACCGGTAAAAATTATATTATTACAGAATAGAGAAACTGAGTTTTTTCTTAAAATTGATTATAAGAAATTGACGATATAGTGGCGCGTGGGCATTCTAAGATTTAGGTCTCAATTGCATTAAGACCTCATTATTAAGCTTTCTTAACCAAAGATGGTGACATCTACAAAACAAAATAATTCAAAATCAACAAAATATCGATAAAGTTGTAATTAGTTCGCAATAGGAAAAAAAAAAGAAAAGAAAATTGAATGCTTAGAACAATATCATATACTGCAATGGTTACAAAATATTTTTATAATTAATTAAGTTACGACAAAAAAGGGTTTTCACCTCAGCAGTGCTTGGGATAATGAATGGATAGAGACGATATAATCTTCCTTTGGCTATTAATTTTCAAAGGTTGATCATCATATGTAACCTTGTATAAGAGGGAAGAAAAGAGAAACCCATTTATTAACGCCCGAAACATTGGCAGGTAAAAAGATATACAAAATACAGATGCAGCTATACTCGATGGTAATCAAATACTTACCAATGAAGCACGGGTCCAAGGAAGGAAATTTGTGAATTTGGAGGAAGAAGTAAATAAAACGGAGGAGATTTAATTTACCGCTGAAAGTGGGAGAAGAAGACGATGAGAAGTGTTATTATGCAAAAACATTTACAAAGAGGTGTAATGTGTGGATGAGATGTGTATTTAGAATGAGCATTTACCACGGAGAAGCCGAAGAGGCGTAATTAATATGGTTATAATTGTGGTGACTGTTGGGTTTTTAAAATCTATTTAGAGCACTTAGATAAGAGGAAAAAGGGCAAAAATCTAAGAAAATAGATAAATAGAAGTACTGGTTTATGAAATATGCCACGTCCCTCATTCAAAGCCCATCTTTATTATATATATACTAGGGAATCCGTCCGGGCTTTGCGCGATTTTAAAAAACTTAAATGAATTTATTGCATGACTACTATTTTTTTGTGTATTTAGTCAAAAACAGAAGAGATGAAAAGTTTCGTATATATGCATACAAAAATTGAATTCTATGAATTGATTAAATAACAAATAGTAAGTGTTATTTTTTCATTAGAATTAGAACAGTTCACATTGATGTTAGACAATATAATATTTTAACATATAATCTTAGAAGTAATTAATTCTCGATAAATAACATATACTTAAAATATTTCCTTTTAAATTATATTTCTTGTTTTTCTAAAAATTCAAAAATAAACTAAATCACAATGAATAAAAATAAAATAGCAAGAGAAAATGTACCTACTTTTTCACCGAAAAATTACTAAAATGTCTTCATCCATATTATGGAATTTATTCCACCACTAAAAATTACTACTCCACTTTGTTACCTGTTGTTGGAAACTCAAAACACTTTGCTTATTGCATTAATAAGGAATATGAAAAGCTCGAATAGCAGCAGTGGATACTTTTGGGCTTTAGAATGGGAAATGTCGACACTACTTAGAAAATAGACCTATCGCAACAGTTATTTAACAACGGTTACTCAAACATTGCAATAAAATATTTATGGCAACGGTTACAACCGTGCATAATCTTCTGAGACCTACTGAGATAGGTAGTAAAATAAACCGTTGCATTAGGACAAAAACCGTCGCTGTAGATTGATGTATTGGGACGGTGTTCTAATCCGTTGCAACAGAGGCATCTTTGGCAACGGTTCTTGAAAAAAAGGGCTAGTGGGTCGGTTTTACTTTCCCTCCCTATTTTACCTTCTTCTAACTTTATCACGCTAAGCGTCTCAAGGAAAAAGAAAAAGAAAAAGAAAAAGTAAAAGTCCTAACACAGATACAAAAAACAAAAAGCCTAAAGTTAATACAAGCCCTAAACAAGAGCTGCCGTCCACACTCAAGATTACCACCGAGAAAGGCTTACGGGAAAATCCAAGAGATTAAGAGGTTCTTCTCTACCAACTCTCTTTTTCTTCAAAAACAGATTTGTTTTCTTAAATTTTTGCTCTCATTCATCAACAGAGAGCTTCTTGAGGCCTCTCCAGTTTGAAGCTAACTTAAGTCTCATCTCCCTTTACACTAGGTAAGATTCATGTTATATACTTATTTATTAATTTATTTATTTGTCAAGTAAAAGACAAATTGGGAATAAATTATTGGGGTAGCTGCTCTATATTTGTTATCTTCAGTGTGCAATTGGGTTTGTTTAGGTGCTGATTTTAGTGATTTTCTGTTCGCTTGTATAAATACACGTAGTTTACAATCAAAAGCCTCTGCCTTTGTTACTATGATACAAAGTCGCAAAAATTGGTTCTTGAAATGGGTTCTCAAAGTTTATGCATATTTTGCCCAAATTTTATGTGTATTTCGCCCAAAATTAGTGAGGCGGGTATGAAGAATACCATGTATGAGGAGAACATCTTGTGTTGGGAAACTGCGATATAGAGTTGAATTATTTATGCTGCTGAAATCAAGAAGTGTATTTGACAATTGATAATTTGACATCAAAATATATGCCTCGCAAAAAAATTACTTTTAGATATAGATTTTCTCCATCCTACTTTTTAAATATTTTCTGATAGTTGAAGAGATTGTAGTAGTATAATTTACCAAGATAACTATGAGAAAGTATAGTCCTAAAAAAATCAAGGAACACAAAGTTACTTGAGAAAAATGTAATGTGGGACAAAAGGGGTGGATAATCAGTTCATTTCCACTTAATTTGAGTGGTAGTAGCAGAATTGAGTTTGAGTCGACGTCACCAAGAAGCAAAACCAACATACAGCAAAGAGTGCTGCATGTAATAAGTTCTGCTTTTAATTGGTTCCACATTTGCTAAACTATTTATGACTGATAAAGAAAGAGAGAAAGCAACCTTGACATCCTTATAAAAAAAAAGGCAACCTTGTCATCTTGATCTTTGTTTTGTTATTCTGCCTTGCTGCCTATAACTGGTCTTAGCTGTCCTTTATTGTATCCATAGATGTGATAACTGCAAGGATAAATGTGATGCTAGATGTATTTTTCTAAAACATGATATTGTCATGCCCAGCCTTACAAAAGTTAATAGACATGCATAATAATGAATATACTCAGTAATAAGAAACATTTGACAAGATTTTGCTTGGGTCATTCTTTAGTGTAAGTGGATGATAGTACATAGCTATTTGCTTCAAACCTCTTATGGATTTCTCAGGCTTCTTTTCATATCTGTTTCTGACTATTTAAGCTGACATGCTGACAATTTGGGTCATCTACTTGAGAACTGGAAACTTTTCTTTCACAATTCTACTTTTACCGTAAGGCTTCAAGTAATTTGGTTATTAGCTTTGTAACTGCCACAGGTTACAAAACTGATTGTTTTCTTCAAAACTGATATTTTTTCTTACTTCTTTGCTCTCATTCATCGACAGAGAGCTTCTTGAGGCCTCCCATTTTGAAACTCATCACATAATCTGTAGCTACCAAATTTAGCGACTTGATGCTTTTATTTTCTTTTTATTTATATCTTACTCTGTGAGCGAGTGCTACCAAGATCTCATAATACAAAGATTTAGCTAGTTGTATTAAGTATTTTAGTTCATTCACGATAAATTAATAGAGAGGTCTCCCCTTTAAGTAGTTGTTAGTTTTCTTGTTTGTTCTTTATGTTTTCTATTTAAGTAGTTGTTCAGCGTTCAGGATTGCAAATTGATCATAATATTTTAGCAACCTTGTGTGCTCGTTCACCAGGAGAAGCTTCGTCCGCACAACAAGTAGCTATTCAACCAATCAACATGCCATCTTTTGTGTGCGACGCAATCCGTGTCTCTCAAAAACAAAGACTGATCTCTGCTGCATCCTCTTTTGTTGTGTGCGCCATCTGTGTCTCTCAAAAACAGAGACTGATCTCTCTTGCATCCTCTTTTGTTGTGTGCACAATCTGTGTCTCTAAACAATAGAGGTGTTCTGTCCAGTTCCAACTGCCTTGCTTTGTCTCTTTGGTCGAGTATCTTTTGCTTATTCAGTCTTTAAAAAATAGAGTTGGCAATCTGGTCGAGTATCTTTGATCATTTATCTTTTTCGCAATATGTGTCTCTCAAAAATAGAGTTGGCATAGTTGGACCATAGTATTTTATTAACTGCACTTGGCACTATCCATGCTACTGAAATGCAAGATGTTACAGGTAACAAGATGTTACAGGTAACATTAGTGATTGCCGATAAAACAAGTTGAGCTGTATGTTTTTTGTAATTGATCTGTAGTGGTACCATCTCTACGTGCATATGGCTATTGACCATATGCTCTTTAAACCTCTGTAACAATTTGGATATCCAGAAAATGAAGTCAAACTCCCATATCTTTTCTTTGTAATAGGGATATTCATAATAAATGGCATTCATTAGTAATAAAAGTTTGTTTTCTTGGTTGATGTTCTGTTGAACTTTACTTCTTACTTGGAATGGATTTATTGATATTTAGTGCTTGGGTTTGAAGCACTGAACTGGATACCAATCAAGATATCCTTTCTCTTTTTCAGCTTGTGTTGCTTATGCCGCAATTTAACATGAAACTACTACTAAATTATCAATCTGTCATATTATAAGTTAATGCACTTAATCTAATACTTGATTTTGGGTAACTTTTTCTGCTCTCCCCTCTTCTTAATGATGTCCAGTTTACATAAAGACATTTGATAATCGGAATTAGTTGTGCACATCAATGAGTAATGCGTACTTACATAAGATAGTGATTTTCTTGGTGTAACATTTTGCATACTTGGACTTCTGGTTCTTTTTTGTAGCTTGATTTTCTGAAGTGGCAATGCCAATTTCATCTTTTGTTTTGTCTTCTAAGTACTTGTATAATTTTATTGGTGTTAATATATAGTGCAATAATAATGATATTGAGAAGGCAATATTTTTCTTTTTCCTACCCTCTAATTATTGTTGTTCTTGTTGAATTTACAGGTGAACCAAATGATCAAGGGGAAGATGAAAGCAATGAAGACCTTACCTAAAAGTATTGGTTGAAGAATCTTCAGACAATCTAGGAATGTTTTTATTTTTGAACTATTTTTCAAACTTATATATTCCAACTCTTGGATTATTAAACACTTTTATCGTATATTTTGCTTTTATAAATGGATCATCGTAGTTGTATATTTTGAATTATGATTCTGTTGATGAATATATTTTCATTTCATCATTTATATATTAATTTAAGTGTATTATACATTTATCTTGTTGCGATAGCTGACAACAACCGTTAATAGCTTCCAACAGCCGTTACAGTAGCTCATTATAACCGTTGCAGTAGCTCATTATAACCGTTGCAGCAGCTTCTAATAACCGTTTCAACAGGTAAATAACCGTTTCAACAGGTAAAACAAAACAGTATAAAAAGGTTGTAATGTCTACAGCAACGGTTCAGTAGATGTGCCTATGGCAACGGTTAGGAAACCGTTGCTTGAAGCCGTTGCAATAGACCAATAGCGACGCTCAACCGTGGCACTAGGTTTATTGCAACGGTTTTCCTTCCTATGGCAACGGAACATGTGGCGTTGCCTTAGGCTTTTTTTCTAGTAGTGCGAGTAGTACTAATTAAGAACTCCACTACTAAAAGCTAATTTCGTCGTGTCGTTGGAAACTTGAAGGATTATTTTTATTGCATACACATTGATAAGAAATATGAGAAGTCGAAGTAGTAATAATTAACACTTAGGCTTTATAATAGCAAAAAGGTCAGATCACGTAGTTTTTAATTAAGAATTATGATCAGAAAAGTAATATTGATTAATAATTGTATTAATACAAAATAGGAGAAAAGGTACACAGAAAAAGGAGGGAAAAGATAAATAACATTTTAATCTTTCCAAATTCCACCTTGAAGCTTCCATGCAATAGCTCATGAATGAAAAAATGAGGAAAATGATGGCACTATATTTCATCAAAAAATCCATCTGAAGAATACAGTATAAATGTGACTACCTTAGAAAAAGAGCAAAAAATGATACACATCGAGCGAAGAGAAAACCCATAAGACAAAACAAATTTACCGTTTATTATCTTCTAACTCAACATATAGAGATGAACCAAGAAATGCTCCAATATTTTGACATTTCAATCTAGTAGCTTCCTCTAATAGCAATGTGACTTAGTTCTTTTTTCATTCATAACTACATCTCAGTAGCTTTGTAATAGTTGATATGATAACACTTAGAAGTCAAACTATCATCTTTTTCCCTTAGTCTTACCTTTACCAGCCTGAGCTTGAGCTTTTTTTTGGCCTTTTTCCTTTTGATTTTCTCATTTGATTCAACTGTGGTAACATAAACACAAAAATCCAAATGTAAACACCGTAAACTGAAAAGCAAAAAATAAATTTGACTAAATTTCATATACCTGAAAAATAAGACAAAACCGAAGAAAACACCATATTATACAAAAAGAGACATATAATTCTTATCCAATTTAAAATACCCACATAATTATACACAAAGAAAAAAGTACAATTTGAAAAACAATTAGTTACCAAAAGAAGTTGATAATTGTTCCCATACAAGATACAAAATATTCAAGAAATACTATAATACACAAGCAAAAGTATATCGATTAGATTTTATATACCCAATATTGGTTGTAGTAATCTAGGTACGTATAGTGATTACAACGCGAAATGGAAATAAAAAAAGTTTTGTTATGTTGAGATGATGACCTTTCATTGAGATATTGCACTCCATGGCAGAGGAAGATCACAACTTTTTATTGACAATCTGTAGGAATAAATATATGTGAACAATTGCATCCCTTTAAAATTTAGTATGCATTCCTGTGAACACAACCCCAAATATTAGGAGCTATTGCATGGAAGCTTCGATCAGCTTATTTACGTGTAGAGAGTTCGAGAGAAACCTTCGCTCAAACTTTGATCGTCCAAATTACAGAAGTTTTTCTCCTCCTATTTCAAGCGGTTTTGTGCGTTTGTGTGGATTACAGTAACTTTGATCGTCACCATAAAATTACAGTAAGTTATAAAATTTCAAATATCTCTATATACTTTTATGTGTTTATGTGAATATTCTTTTGATTGCTGGAGAATAAGATGCAAAGGATTTGATATTTTTATTTTCCTTTTCTGGATTCGATTGTATTGATAAAGTTTTTTGTATTTACAACTTGTATTGATAAAGTTTAGGACATCGTATCCTTAACTTATGATTGTTATGTAAATATTAAGGACAAAGTGTCATGTATTTATAACTTGTATTGATAAAGTTTAGGACACCGTGTCCTTAACTTCATCAATGTTGTGTAAATATTAAAGACAAAATGTCCTGTATTTGTAACTTGTATTGATAAAGTTTGGGACATCGTGTCCTTAACTTTATGACTGATGTGTAAATATTAAGGATATCGTGTCCTATATTTGCAACTTGTATTGATAAAGTTTAGAACATCGTGTCATTAACTTCATTATTATTGTGTAAATATTAATGACAATGTGTCCTGTATTTGCAACTTGTATTGATAAAGTTTAGGATATCGTGTTCATAACTTTATTATTGTTGTGTAAATATTAAGGACAAAGTGTCCTGTATTTACAACTTGTATTGATAAAGTTTAAGACTTTGTGTCCTTAACTTCATGACTGATGTGTATATATTAAGGACAAAGTGTCCTGTATTTGCAATTTATATAGATAAAATTTAGGACATCGTGTCCTTAACTTCATGACTACTGTGTAAATATTAAGGACATAGTATCGTGAATTTCTCCTTTTCTTGACTTGCAGGATGGATACAATATGTATTATAGTTACTTTCAATGGAAGATGGACCGAAGAGTATAAGTATCTGGATCATCAAACAAAACTTGTTCTAGTACCTGAGGCAATTCGATTTGAAGATTTCGCCAACCAGGTCTTTGAAGTTATTGAATTGGATAGAGACAAGTTTGAAGCAATGATATGGTTTGATATCATACTGGAAACAAGCACGGGAATGCTTGTATCCAAATATTTAGATCTTCACACATGTATAGAGTTACTAAAAGTCATTCACTCTTCAAGTGCTGTCATTTCATTGTTGATGTTTCGGAAAGAGTTTTTGGCTTTACAAGCACCTTTGAACATGTCAACATAGAAACTCAACAAGACAATCAAGAGAAATGTCAACTGGTAATGAAAATAGATGCGGTTGAACCTACACCAATAATTAAAGAGGTGCTTCAAACATTTAATTCAATTTAAGTGAAAGGACAAGGCATTATAGAGATTGACAACCAACAAGCTTTGGGTATTCAAGTCTTAGAAAGTGCTTCAGTAATTGAAGAAGTTGCTGAAAAATCCTCTACTCAACTAACTAAACAAAGGTTAAAGTCGAAAGAAAAAGAATCCCCAAGTACAATATTGAGAGAAAATGCTTTGTTAGATGAAATAAAAGTGGGATCAATATTTGACATAAAGAAGAGTATAATTAACTGTTTTTCGAATATAACAATTAAAGGACATTTTGAATTCAAGGTTATAGATCAAGCTCAACAAGATATTCTTTGAAATGCAATGATGAAAAATGTGGGTAGTGCGTGCGTGCTTTCAGAATTAAAGATTCAACACTATTCAAGATAGTAAAGGTTGAGAAAAATCATGACTGCTCAGTGAACACTATGAAAGCTGATCAAAGGCATGCAACTTTAAAGTTGATTAGTGGTTACATTATTGACAATCTTCGAGACCCAAGGTTTGAAGTTACACCAGCCTTTATCATGGTTGAAATGCAAAAATTGCATGGACTAGACATTGGGTATCACACGGCGTGACGTGCTATTCAACATGTTTCAGCTTTAATAAGAGGAACTCCTGAAGAGAATTATGAATTGTTGTCTTCTTACTTGTATATGATGAAAAGTAAAAACCCGGGAACATACACTAACATAAAGATAGACGACAACAACAGGTAAGCAATCAAAAAGAGTTTATTAGTCTGTTTTAAACTGTAGGACATCCCGTCCTTAACTCTGATGTGTGCAGTGTAAATATTAAGGACATGGTGTCGTTAACTTTGATGTGTGGAGTAAAAATGTTAAGGACAAGGTGTCTCTAAATTTGATATATGCAGTATAAATGTTAAGGAAATGTGTCCTTAACTTTGATATGTGCAGTGTAAATATTAAGGATATGGTGTCCTTAATTTTGATGTGTGCAGTGTAAATGTTAAGGACATGATGTCCTTAACTTTGATATGTGCAATGTAAATGTTAAGGACATGGTGTCCTTAACTTTGATGTGTGCAGTGTAAATGTTTAGGACATGTTGTCCTTAACTTTGATGTGTGTAGTGTAAATATTAAGGACATTGTGTCCTTAACTTTGATGTGTGCAGTGTAAATGTTACGGACATGATGTCCTTAACTTTGATGTGTAGAGTGTAAATGTTTAGGGCATGTTGTCCTTAACTTTGATGTGTGCAGTCCTAAAGTTTTATAGTATTACTGAATTTTCGTTTATATTTCCAGGTTTCTTTATATGTTTTATGCATATAGATCATCAATAGCTGGTTGGAATCATTGTAGACCGGTGATTGATGTTGATGCAATATTTTTGAAGTCAAAATATCGTGGTGTTTTAATGATTTCAATTACAAAGGATGCAAACAACCAAATATTTCCACTAGCCTTTGGCATTGCAGAATCTGAAAATAACAACTCCTATGAGTGGTACTTTAGTGAGCTTCACAATGCAATTGGGAGCCATGACAATTTAATTTTTTATCAGATGGGCATCAATCTATTACACATGGTATCACAAAGATATATCCTGAAAGCTACCATGGGATTTATATCTATCATTTGGAGCAGAACCTAAAGCGAAGGAAAGTGAAAAGTGAGGTCATAAAACTTTTTCAAAGTACTGCAAAAGTATACAGGCGCAAAGAATTTGATCTCTACATATCAGAGATAGCAAAAGTTGATAAAAAGACTTTTGAATACTTGATGGAAGAACCACCGGAAAGGTGGGTGCGTTCTTGTTGTCCACGACGAAGATATGACATGCTCATAACAAACATAGTTGAGTCAATGAATTCTATGCTATTAGAAGCAAGGGAGCTGCCTATTTTGATAATGATGGATTTCATCCAAGTGAAGCTAAAACGTTGGTTTTATGAAAGAAGAAATGAAGCAGAATGAACTT